GGCGGCGCTGCTGCGGCCCCGCGGCGGGGAGGCGGCGGCCAGGCTGGGCTACCACAAGAAGGTGAGGGGCGAGGGGCCGCGGGGAGCCGGTGCGGGGGGCAGAGGGGGAGCCAGGCGGTGCCCGGTGGTGATGCGGTGCCCTCGCAGGTGGTGGATCACTACGAGAACCCGCGCAATGTCGGCTCTCTCGACCGGAACGCCAAGAACGTGGGCACCGGCCTGGTGGGTGCCCCGGCCTGCGGCGACGTCATGAAGCTGCAGGTGACTTTGGGCACCGAGGGAGGGGGTGGCCCGGGGTTGCTGCGAGGCCTAAATCTGCCCCCCGTCCCCTCAGGGGGGGCTGCGCGGCCCTCCCTCCTCACATCCCTCCGCTCCGAGCTGGGCCCTGGGGCCCGGGCAGGCCCTGTCCCTCTCCCCGGGGCGCGGTGGGAGCCAGGGCCCTGCCTAGAAGGTGGCTCTGGGCAACTGGCGGAGCTGAGCCGGCTGCTGAGGTGCCACCAATGCTCTGGCAGGTGGAAGTGGACGAGAACGGGAAGATCGTCGATGCCCGTTTCAAAACCTTTGGCTGCGGATCAGCGATAGCCTCGAGTTCGCTGGCAACGGAGTGGGTGAAAGGGAAAACGGTAAGAGTCTCTGCCAGAGCTGGAGGTGACACCGTGGAGAGCCTCCCAAGTTTTCAGCCTGCCTGTGTTCTCAGTGGAGAAAACAGCTCCCTAGCAGTCCCAGTACGGACTTGGTGCAGTGTGGTACGGCAGCTGTTGGTGGCCTCACGGCAATAGTTGCCTTTTTCAGGAATCTCCGTTAATCTGCAGGGAAGTACGTAGTGTCTTGTGGCAGAAAGAAAAAAAAGTGCTAATCACAGGTTCTGAAAGAAAGTTTAGTTATGGAGTGCTTTTAGATTATTTATACTCGTTTTCTATGAGAAATGTGTTTCTAAATGTTGATAAAAGGTAAGCACGAATGACCGCTCCAGCAGCACTCGGTCTCAAACACTGGTGTGTTTTGGTTTGTTCCCACCCCTGCTCGGTCTGAGACACTCCTTCATTCTGGCATCCTGCGCTGCCCTGGCACTTGAGATGTTCCTCCCTGTGGGTTCTGTTGGCTCTGGAGCACTAAATTTCTCTTAACAAACACCTTTGTAACCCGTGTCGTACCTCGCGTGACCGGTGACCGCACGCTAATTGCTTTTCAGGTTGACGAAGCGTTGCAAATCAAGAACACAGATATTGCTAAAGAACTCTGCCTTCCCCCCGTCAAACTGCACTGCTCCAGTAAGTAAAGGACCAAACGGTGAAAGTACAAACACAAACTTGTATTTGAGAGGGAGACTTCTGGGAATAGTGCAGATGCTTCTGAATGTTGTTTTGCAAAATTTTCTGCACAAGGAACGTTAAGGTTGGCCCACGAGGGAAGCTTGCTTATGTTCAGATTTTGGGGTGATTTTTAAGAATTTTCAGATCTTTGGCACTCTGTAGCTCAGCAGACTGATAATAAATGTTCAGATTCTGACGTTCTGTGTCTTAAGATGCCGACGGGCGCTGCCTGCAGTGATCGCTGCCGGCTGCTCTTGCTTTTATGGCATGTTTTGTTCTAAGTGCCTCTTCGTTGTCCTTGAAATACTCGTTTTGTTTGTAGTGCTGGCTGAAGATGCAATCAAGGCTGCCTTGGCTGATTACAAGTTGAAGCAGGATCCAAACAAAGAAGAGCCGGAGAAGAAAGCAAACAACGCCTGAACTGACTGTAAAGCTTGTTCTCATTCCAGTTAAATTTGCAGTGCAATTATTCTAGCTGTTAGTAGGATCCTGTGCACTACTAAATGAAGCTGTAAGATACGCACAACTTACGCACAACGTGTCACTGTTCATTTGTGTACGGCCACTCCTGTAGCGCTTACACGACTGGGACGGGGCTGTCTCAGCAGCCTGCGTCCTGTCGCGACTGTGTTTGAAATATTAGACTGCTCAGCTGCAGAGAACGTGGTGGCTTCTCTCAGGAGGGAAAATCCTGCTGTTCTGGTACTGGAAGGGCTGCACTTTTTTTTTTTTTTTTTTTTTTTTTTTTTTTTTGGAAGATGTATAGTTTTTGCCTAATCTTCTACAAAATTTAGCGGGAAACGTTGCCTTGCTCTTAACGTTTATGTGACAACTGCGGATCACTCTGTGTATCGATGCTACATACAAACGTGGGGCAGCGCCTCTGCCTGCAAACTACAGCTGTGTCAGAGTTTTGTTTCACAATCCGTGTGCGAGTTCCTCCTCCCCGGGCTGCTGGGACGCTTCAGCGGGCGCTGGAGGGCACTGGCTGGGCGACTGGCAAGTAGCAGCTGGGTGCTGGTTGCCACCGCTCCCGGAAGCTCAGACCCAGCGCTAGCAGGGCTTGTTTTTCACATCCTGGCACCACTTAACGCTTGCTGGGTTTTTTTTTTAAACTCCTGTTAGAGGAACAATCCTAATTTTAGAGTGTCTTCTGTAAGAATTTAACCTTTGGATTGGCTGAGTCCTCTGTTAAAAGAGAGTAAATGACCCCTGGGGTTGGAACCCAGGAGGGGAATAGCGTAGCTGGGGTGGGGAGTGGAATTTAAAAATTCATAATTTTTTAATTTGAAAATTAAATGTTTTGGAGTGGATCTGGCATGGCTTACCCTCGGTGCTCCAGGCCACTATGCTCTCCTTTGCCTTCTGGTGGTTGTTCTTTTCCAGGAGAGTATTTCCATCGATTTCCAAAACAAATGGAAACCACATTTAAAAACTCCTTGAAGATTTTAAAACCACCCAAGAAACCTCAGTTGCCTTTTTTTCATACCTGCGGTGCTTTATAAAGACTAAAAACGGCCTTTAAAAATAAGTGGCTCATTCTGATAAGTCTATCCACCACTTTTTTCTTTTTTTTTTTTCCTGTTTTTTAACGCAGAGCAGGCCACGTGTTGCTGCTGTGGTTTGTCGCTCACAAGACCGCTCTTGCGGTACCTCGGCTCGGCCCTCGGCGTGGCCCCTGTCTCCTGCAGCAAGGAATGTGCTTTGCTCCCTGGGAACAGTCCTGTGGTTTCTCAGTTAAAAAAAAAAAAAAAAAATTTTTTTGAAAATCAGGAAAACTTCAGACTCCCACTTCCGTCCGCTTTGGGGCAGAATCGGTTCATTGTGCTCCCGACAAAAAGCAAAAGAGGGAGATAAAAGCTCTTCCAGAGGGGAAAGGTTGGCCCGAGGCCAGGATGTGGGGACACATCCCTGCCTGCCCCATGGCTGGGACAAAACCTGCCCAGGCAGGGATGC